TTCGTTGAGGAAACTTCAGTTTACACATGTGTACTTACCGCCAGAACAAAGTACCTATTAACTATTATGTCAATACGGTTTATTTAATATATGTACATATAGAAGTATATGTGAGTAGTAACTGTAACAAGCTTGCAGCGATATTAGATAACTCAAGCGTAATCGTTTGTGAAGTATTTAGGTAATTCTTTCTTTTGTGTATAAAATTGTGCTCACAAAAAATGAGCACCAAAATCAATGTAGCTAACGTAAATATCAGTATAAAACTTTGAACAAATAAATCTTAAGATATCGAATGTATAAATTCCAGTTCTTAAGGATGATATTTTATGCAAAATATCGCTTATTCTGTGCCAAGACTTCCCCCAAATATTGTACTTTACAACCTCCGGGTTAAAACCCGCTAAAACTTGGATATTTGAATTTTTTACATACATTTAGAGGTTATGTGAATGTGGTGTCAAACAAAATATTGTACATATTTTTATTACCTGCAACTTTGGTACATAACTTTTTTCCAAAAGAATCTTAGTTTCCCGGAAATCGAAATAAACCGTTCATAAGTATGAAAATTCAATCACTCACTGCTCTATCTCTTTCCGACCACAAATCGCCCGTAAATTATTTGTTCTTAGGTTTTCATTTTATCTTTCTTTTCTAATGGGTTTCAAACTATTATGGCTTCTAAGTGGAGAATATTTTGAAAAACAATAAAACGGTTTTCGATTATTTAAATTTGATTTGGTCCCTAATTCGAAACATAAAAGGCAACGTACGTATTTTAACAAACGTTCCGTTTCTTTTCCACGACAGTTGGGTTTACGTAATCAAATCAAAACCGAAATTTGATCAAAATTATTTGTTGAAATTAAGAATATATTATTAAAACACTTATTCAACGTTTTCACGTGTTAAAATAAATTAATTAAGGCACATAGTTAAAAAAAAAATGACAGTCTCAACAATTTTACACATTTAAACCAATCCATTGTTGCTTACCAAATAGAAGCACAATAATCGCAATCATTGCAAAGAATATTGCATAATCCCAAGAGGAATGCACGGGTCCAGGTTGAGCATAGCGACGCATAAAATCCTCTGCGGAGCCTTCTTGTGGATTATAAAGATTCTCCTTAAGATTAGCCTTCTCCTCTTCGCTTATACCGTCCATTTGTTCGATTAACTTCCAAACCTCATCCACACTGGGCATCTTAAAATCGCCCTTGGGATCACCGAGATTTCCATAGGGATCACCAGAGCCAGCGGCAAGTGCTGCCACGTCTTCGGCGAATTGTTGTTGATTTGCTGGATCATTAGCCATTGTCACCGAAGTAATTGGCTGTCTGTCAAATGTGGTTGTTTACTTGTTGCTTTGGTAATGCTCGTTTACTTTGGCACGCGAAATTCTTGTTCACAATTTAACTGGCGCTTTAACGAAATTCTAAGGCAATTTGCAATGTTTTTACTTTGAGAATGTTTATATAATATTGCTATGCAATAACTGTTTATAATATAATAATTATATCTTTGTAATATATCAAAATGGAGCAGGATATTTGCAGAGAGGAGTGAATGCAATTATAGTAAAATTGAAAAAAAAAATTGACAACGACAAAAATCCAATCTATATATGTATATCTAATGGGCTTTGGCAAAAAATTGTTTATCGTTAATGCATAACATACAGTATATTAATATGAAGTGGATATTTTTTAGACGGGATATTTTAAATCTTATATAAACAACTAAAGATGGAAGTAATATATTTGGAAATAGGAAATGGATATGATACGTTTTGGTTTAAAAAAAAAAACATTTACATTAAATTGCAAAAATAAAGCTGTTCTAGCCTTTTTACTTGAGGCGAAACAGCGGTTTGCCATTTTTTTAACTAAATATTTGATGGCATAAGAATTTAAAAAAGTAATATGTTTTAAAATTGTTGACTTGTAAGCTGTTATGCTTTATGGGAAAATGATCTAACAAGAAACGTGGATTTTATTTTCGCTACAAATTTAGTTCTCAAATATATGTATTTTATACATTTTCTACATAATAGAAAAATAGGAACGCACCCGGCTTTTTTATCCGGCCGGATGTTCATCGCGATATTGCCTACCGCTGCAACAACAACTATAGCCAACTAAGATCTGCTGATCTTAGCACCAATCCAATAAGGCTTTTTGTTCCGATATATTGTACGTAACGCGGACAGATGGATTTTTTTCCAACCAGCAGTATCATTTTGACATCATACAAAAAATATTTTGCAACAATAAAATTCAGATTTTTTGCGGCGATTTCTTTTAGAATAACAAATTGATATACTATCACCAGAGTAAAGAAACCCAACGTTTTATTCAGCTTCATAACGATCGTTCTTTGGTTTAAGAGTTCGCTAATACATGACTGCTTAGTAGGAACACCATTCAACATCATTGTACCCGAAATGGAAGGGGAAATTGGATAAAGCCAAATATTCGGCAAATTAGAAAGGTTAGCAAGGTAAATTTATATATATTTTTTTTCTAATTTAATATACATATATTTTATGAATTGTTCATTATGTACTGATATTTTTATTAACAAAATATGAAATATATTTTAAAACTAAACTTTACAGCTTCATTACTTAAAATTTATTATAACTTCAGCAAAAAATGCAATAAAAAAAACACCACAATTTTTAAGCTCAAATACATGTGGCACCACTGCACTCCAGCTATTATTCTACACTAGAGACGAAGTACCAACAAGGTAGTCAAATTCAAGTGACAATTTAAGCAGTAAAGTAAAATAAGCAGTCGTGGCCGAGTGGTTAAGGCGTCTGACTCGAAATCAGATTCCCTCTGGGAGCGTAGGTTCGAATCCTACCGGCTGCGATAAATATTTTTTTTGTGTACTTTTTTCAAAAAATTTCAATTTTGAAATTTGTTGAACTTATTTTAATGTTAATATGCAATAATAATTATTTAAAATAATTGTGTTTACGCCTTTTGCGACTGAATTTATTTACATTCGACACATATAAAAAGGTATTATAATTTTGACTATTTTAAAAGATTTCCCGTTTCACTACCTCTCTGCACATTATATACCACTACTCATCAATTACTACGTTTGTAAACAAACGCAAATTTATTTAATATGTTTTCAAAATATACCAACATTGTTTAAATATAATTCAAATTAATTAACCAATTAGAAGTTTTAAATTTGCAGCCACGTTGTACTTCACTGAATTAGGTACTGATATTATTTAAAAGCATTGTGGTCAGAAGGAGTATAGAGAGTAGGCATATCACTGTTTTGTAGATATTTTAATCATAAATAACAAATATGTACGTGAGATAGTGTTGCAGCAGTCCATAGAAAAAATGCTAATCTACACAAAATAAATAAACTCTCATTTTTTGTGCAGATTTCTTGACAACGTCAGCATTTTTTGACCACCAACACCTTTACAATGGTCAGCCAAAAAAATAAAAATAAATAAATAATACATACCAATAAATGGAAATATTTTTGTATACGAATTATATATGTACATGAACAAAAAATTCTATAATTCAGAAATTAATACAATATTTATGTTAGTGTGTAAAATATATGTATGTATGCATACACATACAGAGGTATCGGAAGGAACATTATTGAAATATGATAAGATAGGAAAAATTTACTTGTCACTCTGTTAATGTGTTTAACTTAAGAGAACTTGCTGTCGGGGCAACTTTATCAGTTAGAATACTTTATAATACACACTTATTTGGATGTACATAAAGTAACTTTAGCATGCATGCACTCATACTAACATGTAGAATATGAGTACACGAAAACGATTTTAAATTATTTGTTTCTATACACGTACACAGATTAAAGAGTAGATCTAAAGGATTGGGATGGTCTCAGGAAAATCGTATTATACAAAAACGAGAATAATACCAATTGAAGGTTTGGTTATGTTTATGGCAATTACAGTGCTATCTAAAATACGAATTGAATACCGGAACATATAAAGACATTATCCAAACGACCGTGTAGCATTACTAAAAAAACATATTGCTAAGTAATTATGTTAGACTTTGATTCTTTTTTCGTTAAAGGGTATAAGAGCCGAACGGAGTCGATGAAAATGTGAATGACCGCAAAAATACAATTGAAAAAAATAAAGCAACCGGTTTGTAGTGCAAATACAATTCTTAGCAAACTTTTTTGTTTTGAAAGCATAATAGAACATGGAAAAACTAATTGAAGAAATTCTAAACACATAAATAACTTAGCACTAGACACATGACAGCTGACTAATCTTACATGCATGTTTACCTTTACTAGAATATATTGAAAATATTTGAACCCCTACTTACCAGCTAGTCCAAATACAACAACAGCCGGTACATAAAACGCCAGATTGGGAATGCTTTGTTGGAATGGTGATGATGAATCAGTTAAATCAACCATTTTTTACACAATTAATTTTAAACAAAATAAACTATATAAATTAATTTAAGTTGTGAAGACAAAAAGTCCACTTGACTAAAACTTCGTCCGATTAAAATAATTGTAAATCAAACTGGAGTCTGTGATCTTTTGACAGCAAACAAATATGCATTAAAATGGCATTCACAATGATTTTGTTAAGATTAAAAATCTATAAATTTTTGTGTCAAATGAAAAAAAAAAATTTTTAAATAAAGTTTTATTCTGCATTAAATGCTAGATTTATGTTTTATATTGGTAACTTTATGGAAACAAAATTTTGAGTTTATTGGTGCCTTATGAACTATTTTTATTATTAATAAGTTAGTAAATGGAATTTAACAACTTAAGTATATTGAAGATATTAATTTTATTTTGTAATAACTTTAAATGTACTTCTAAACTAAAGATTTTTTAATACTTATTTATTTATCGAAAGTTACACAAATTATTCACAATAATTTAATCATCGATTACTTTCTTGATTCCGTCATTTCTTTCGTTTGACAGCCACACATATTTTAAGAACAGCTGGTACTTGACAACTTTCCGTGTGAGTGCACAAGTTGAATTTTTGCGAGTCGATTGGAAAACACAAAAATAATTTCGAAATAATGAAGGCTATTTACAATACTTTACTCAAAAGGACTTCCACATATGCCGTGGGAATAATGGCATCCGTATTCTTCTTTGAACGCGCATTTGAAGTGGGGTCTACAACACTTTTCGAATCCGTCAATAAAGGAGTAAGTTGCAAATGATTCAACTTTTAAAATTATGTAAGAACTTATTTGACAATTTGATTTGTTCATTATTTTAGAAACTGTGGAAGGATATCAAGGGCAAATACGAATAAACTAAGATACTTCAAATGGCTTTTGGCACATTGTAACCAGGGAATACTTCTTGCTATCAATGAATTGAAAGCAAACATTCAATTAGAATAAATGTAACATTTATTGCTAAACAAAAACGAAAAAACAAAATATTTATTATTTGTTAGGTGTTTTCTCTGTCTTTGCTTGTTGCGCTGGTTGTAGGTGATCCTCTAACACTTCCCAGGGCTTTTCATGCCGCACAGCATCCCAAGGCAATGGCGCAACGTATCGTTCAGGTTCTTGCAACTTAACTCCATTTTCTTCCAATGTTTTCAGAAACTTTTCTACTTTACCACCGGCAACGGCGTCAATATTGCAAGTCATTTCAACAATGCCTGACTGAAGGCATCTCATTGCTAGCACTCGAGCAAGATTCACAAAGGCAGGAGTATCTTTGGTTTTGTAGAGATGCTTTTTTATCGCCCATTCCGAGGTGCTCGCACCGACAATAGGTCCATTCTGAAAATGTCTCACTTCTGCAGTTACGTAACGTCCACTTACAGTCAACTCCAACTTATGCCAAAACGAACGTCCAGGTTTTTCCAAAAAATAACCGTTGGGTTTATGTGCAATACGCAATCTCTCCAGATTTCTTGGATTTCGGTTTATTATGACTGGTTCTCCGGTGGGCTGGCTGATTTCCTTTATTTTACGCAAAACGCGAGAAGATCTAAGTGGTTGAAAATGGCCCGACATATTTTAAATGATAAATTAATTCAATAATTATCAAATTATTCGTTTTTGGAAAACAATTATCCGGCTACCAAATGTATTGAATGTTGACTTCTTCAAAGGTGTGCTACTGATAATCGCTGTTGACAGTATGTAAAGATAATTGCGCTGATCTTTCCGTAAATTCACCGACGGTGAATAATGTCCACTTTTTCAATAGAGCGTATTCTGCTTTTAATGTCTTTGACAAACTGACCCTTCATTCATTTTATTATTTTCCAATTTTAAGTAAATTATATGAAAAATTATTTTAGCTTATAATTATTAATAATTACTATTTATTTATTGTGCGAACTTGTCGCATGACTATTCACCGCGAAATGCAGCTGTTCACAAATAATTCAAAAGAAAATGTAAATATTTACGAATATGTACAAAACATAAAAGCAAATGTCAAAAGCGTTAAATGATAAATAATTCTAATTAGCTTTTGCAAAAATTAGGCATGAGCCAAAACAGGAAGCATTTGAACAATTTGCGTTGACCATTGCCCATAATCGGATTGGGCACTTTGGTGGTTCGGTGTGGACATTTTGTCTTATAGTATTATTAGCAGAGTTTGGGGTTTGAAAACGTGGTACATATCAATAATAATGCTGTTGTCTGTKGCGGGATTAAATTTGTGTGGCCGAATGCGGCTCCTAAATCGTGGGAGTTGCATTGCCATGGCGCGCATACAAAAACCTTGCACTGCCGGATATCCAACTTCATCGAAAAAGGTGAGTAGAAATCTGCTACTTGCAAACAATGGCTTCAAGCTTCATTTTCAAAATCGATCCAATCATTTACCTTGAGCTCATGGACACTACTTTGAGAACACTTATGGTTATGTGACAGAGTGTCACGTCGATAAGTTGTTGAGTGGTGCTGTGAAGTAGACGAACGCAATTACTCCACCAAAGCGCGCCATGCATAAAACATTTAAACAGTTCTAAACTCTGTAAATGCCACTGAGATTACAGGTTATTTTTTATATTGCATATATATGTGGAATATATAGTATTTGAAGTATGAAACTTTGGACAAACATGTGTCATATAGTTTGTTTGAACTCGTCACAAAATTTAATTTACATGTGTATATTCCATATTTTTATGTACATGTGTATATTCCATGGTTATCCAAAAATCCTAAACTAAAAGTGGCGAAAAACACATCTAGGAATGGATGCTTCCGTTTTAATCACATTTTAGAACTGTATAATTATAAACAATTTTTAAAATGCATTTTTAAAATGCAATGCTATTTGGATTTGGAAAGGTAATTTTTTGTACAAAACACAATCAATTCAATTAATAAATTAGTTAAAATATCAAATTTTAGGGATAAGCTTTTCTTGCTATATTTCTTGTATTTGCTATGTACATGCATACATTTTAAAAACAACCGTTTTTATATTTATTAGTATTTTTGTATCTCTTTACATGTACTAATATGTGAAAATATTTCTGAAATTTTTTTTCTTTATTTCTTTAGATATAAAATATTAATATTAATTAAATTAATTTATCCACAAATTAACTAGTTTTTCCGACGCTATTATATTTACCTTCACTTCAGTTTTAGACATTATTGTCTATGCAATAAAGCGATGCAAGTAAAAGCAAACCGGAGAAAAAAGTGTCAACACGTTTAGAGTGTAATACTTTGCCAAGCGTGTCATTGCCGGCGAGACGATGACGACTCAATTTGGAGTAGTTCAACGCTCTTACCCCCTATTTATACCGCACTACTGCGAGCGGTTGGATAAATGTGGAATATGTGTGTGCTTTCATTCGACGGCTATCAAAAATTCGATGAGCACCGTCAACGCACACAATGCTAATTCGCTCTTTTGAGAGTTTCTTAGCTGACTCTATTTGAATTCTAGCGCTCGTTGCATGTTTTGCTGATTGTGGACTACCAGTCACTTTTGCAAATTCCCACCGTTTGGACGTGCGCAAAAACAAACACACCCGTAGTGTCGTGCGCGAACAATCCCTACTTGCGAAGTGAAGTAAACAAAAGATTTTGTAAAACCAAGTAGTTTTTGCAGTTGAATTATTAGAAATTTGTGTTGAAACAAAAAGAAAATCACTATAAAAGTCCTATACTATATGTATACATAAATAAATAGAAAATTTTAAGTGTATATTTTCTTTTGAAAATTTATAAAATATGCAGTGCTATATTTAGTTATGAAAAGCGTCGCGTCAACAACAAGAACAACGTCAACGACAACGACCTGGCGAAGCAGCAGGAGACCTACCGAAATTAATTCATTCAATTTATGCACTTAGTTAAGAAATGTTGAAGATGTTGCATGCTTTTACGACTTAACAACGGTAAATAGTATTAATTAAAATGTTGTTAAATTCATTGAAACAATCACGTAAAGAATGCAGGAACAAACTCATAAATTTTATGGTACATATGTCTAGCATATTTGCACTTACGCGCAAGAAACCCAAACTTTTCGCGACAATAGTATTTCACTTGTTGTTATTGCGAACCTGCGTGGATACTATAAATGCTTATATTTGTTCTAGTGGCACTGGTGGCGTATGAGTAACATAAATCTGTGTAACGGTGTAGGAACTATGTAAAAGTATGTACATATGTACGACGGGCTTCGATGCTCCGGACACTCATATTATTTTACAACTTCTCTCACGAACTACAGTTACAATGGCAAGGGACGCTGTTTTCATTTTAAATTTTTTTATTCAAGTAGCAATGAATATAACTATTAAACTTTTTGACATTTTTTGTTAAAATGTATGATTTAAATATGTAATAAATATTAATTATTATTTATAAATAAATAGTATGGCAATTATATTTCCTGATTGCATGCGGTAAATATGTAAATGGGTTGGGCCCACTTATTCCTACATTGTTAGCATATGCATGAGGCGGAGCAGCCTTTTCAGTATTGTTCATTGTTAAATAAATATGCTAAGGCCTAAGCAGCCAGTTCCCTTAGTTTTCTAGTCTGTATGTAAATTTATTTACAAGTCATACTTAAATAAATATGCTAAATTTTTTCAAGCCCATGCACGTTATTATACCCTGCATATGATTTTTTGAGTTTGCCACCAAGTTTTCCTCCCAGGAGGTTTTTCATATATCAGAATAATTTTTTATATTTGATAAAATATCTTCACGGATTTCCGCGAGAATTACTCTCCAAGTCAACGCTATAAACCCTGAATAAATTTTTCCGATCATACCACTATAGCATATAGCTGCTATACAAAGCGACCGATCCCCTTCCCACGACAGTTGGGTCTAAGTAACTGGAACGGATCTGGATTTTTATCCAGCCAAGGACTGTCAACTCGTCACCATTTCTCGAAATTACTTCAAGAATGTTTTCTGCCGCTACAACTACCACACCCGAGCAAAATCAAGTTTAGGGGTCGACATTTTTTTTATTTTACAATATATTTTTATAAAATTTCGTATGGCTTATTGTCAAAAGTAACTCTATAATCCCCAAATAAATGATTCGGATGGAACCACTGTTTAGAAACTAAATGTTTAACATAGCAAAACTTCACGTTTTTGCAACAATTATTGCAATAATAAATTTTAAAATATGTTCCGTTGCAGTACTTATCATTTGTTATTATATTATTATTATAGTAAATAAAACAGTTACATTTAAGAAATCGCTCATCTATATAATTGTAAAAAACATGAATTAAACTAAATCACAATATCAAGGAAAATTATGTTTTAAGTGACAACAAATTCTTAGTGAAATTGCCAGACAAAAAAAATAAATTAAATAGATAAATAAAAAGAATTGCTTTAAAGAAAAAAAACTGTAAAACTATTTTAAGCACTCGCCCGCGTTTTAATCGTGCCACACGCACTTTTTTGCACTTGTGTTTATGCAACAGATTCGGCGAAATAAAAAAGTGAATTTAAAAGCGATAAAATATTGTTAAGCAGTAATTATTGGTACACAAATATACATATGTATATTGTTTAGCTGACAGCGAAAATAAAAATATAATATTAAAATATTAAATTATATATATACCACTTGCTAATTCTCTTGTGTTTATATATTCTTTCCATTATCCACCGACATCCATTAATTACAACAAAAACAAAACAAAATTTCGCCTTCATCATCGTTTTCGCCTTCCGCCAGTTTCACGTCCAGCCTCAACAACAGCCCCAACCGCAGCGAATCGCTATGGGCTACAACATAGAGTGGATATTCCAGCGTTTGCGGTGTCCTTCGGGACTTTGGTATATTGCTAGCCAAATTGCTATCACAGCGGTGGGATTGTTTGCTAAATTTGTACTGGGTAAATATCGATCTATAATTAATCTATAATTTGATGCATTGGCACATGTGGGGTGGTGTCGAAACCA